CTTTGAGGATTTAAAAAAATTTTTTTAAATAATTCTTTATTGTTGGAAGTATTACATATGTCCCCCCCCCCCCAATTAACCCCCTCCAGCCTGTCCCACTCCACCCCTGCCCCAGGCTCTCAGCACCCTATTGTCTGTGTCCATGGGTTATGCATATATGTATACAAGTCTTTGGTTGGTTACCTCCCACCCACTCACCCTCCCCTTCCTTCCCTCTGGGATTCCACACTCTGTTCCATTCTTCCATGTCTCTGGATCCACTCCGTTCATCAGTTTATTTTGTTACTTAGATTCCACATATGACACTTGTGACACTTGTCTTTCTCTGACTGACTTATTTCACTTAGCATGATACTCTCTAGTTCCCTCCATTTTGTCTCAAAGGGTAAGAGATTCTTGTTTTTTACTGCTGCATGGTATTCCATGGTATAAATGTACCACAGCTTTTTTATTCACTCATCTACTGATAGGCACTTGGCCTTTCAGGATTTTTGACTCCTTTTTCAAATTTCAGTTACTTCCCTTTATAAGATAGGGATTTGAAATCTTAAAAATTTGCTATACAATCATCATTCTTAAAAGTGAGCTTATACCTAAAGCTTGGCAGCTACTTATATGTGTCTTGAGTTATACAGTGGGGCCTTGACTTACGAGTTTAATTCATTCCGTGATGGAGCTCATAACTCAAATTACTCGTATGTCAAATCAAAAAGTGAACGAGTGAGACATGTGATGCTGGGCTGATGTTGTGGCATTCACTGTGATGTTCACTGCACCAACTAGTGGTGGGGTATCTGAAGCTGACTTGTAACCTGAATTTTAGCTCACAACTCAAAGCAAAAAATCGGCCGAGAGACGGCTTGTATCTCGAAAAACTCGTTAGTCGGGACACTCGTAAGTCAAGGCCCCACTGTAAAATGAAAACCAGTTAGTTAAATACTAGTTAATTAGGAATGTTATATGCTCTCCAGGATTTTCATAAAATAAATTTCTTATAAGATAGCTTTATTTTATGAAAGCCTTGGCCCTTTAAAGTGTTGGCATTAACCCAAACATCTGAAATTCTGTGCTGCAAATAATGAATACTACAACTGCTGATTTATTAGCTAAAGGAAGTTAGTCACATTTATAAATCAGAATAGTTAGTGTTTTCAGTTTAATTTGATTTTTCTGCCTTTCATTTTAATTTCTCAGAAAATTCTATGATGCATGATTATAGGATAGCAAATTTAAAACTCAGTAATGAAAATTTCTTTAAAATATTCAATATTAGCTTATTGGTATATTTTGATAAGTTTAATATTTCTCTTCATAGAATGTTATCAATTTTAGTTTCTATTGAAGAGTAGGGATCTTTAATCCTTTTCTGGGAAGGAGCAACAGTCTGTCTGAAGATTTGGGGTAACAGTGTAGACTGTAATTAGGAGAATAGACGATGCTGGTGGTCTTCTAAGATTTTCACTGGGATTAGGTGGTGGGGATACATGATGAGGTATTTTCAGCTTTCGGGCATGGTAGTGGCATTCATTTTCTCTAAGCTGTGCTGAAAAATCCTCAAAAGGGAAGGACAAGTTGGCAAAGACCCTTCCTAGTTGAAATGCCTGTGACTCTGGTGGTGGTAGTGGTAGATATAGACTTCCTATCTTCCAAATATGGAATTGCAAAAGAATGAACCATTTGGAGACATGATTAGATAACGTCTTTTTTAAAGTCTGATACATTACTGCATAATGTTATAATGGCATTTTGTTGATTTTTGAGTTGCCAGAATGAAGAAAGACCATTAAAGCTCTAAATTTTTGTGAATATATTAGCTAGGGTGTGTGTATGTATGAATGCATATGTGGAGAGAAAGAAGATTAAGATATTGTCCTAAATATTTTCAAGGTTTTTGAAGCATTTAAAACTTACATTGTATGCGTATAGTCCCATGGAGATACTAGTTTCTGTTGTTAGCTACACAAAATGAAAGATACTTTGACCCCATTGTTCAGAATCTTCTTTTTTTTTTAAGAGCAAAATTCCTTTTGTTATACTATCAAGATAACTTTGATCCAGCACATTGCCACTCTTGAAGCCTGCGAAAATTTATGTGAAATGGTAGGAATTTATATAAACTTTGTATAACATGTTGAAAGCATATGCCATACCACTTATTTTCTATTTCTATAACTGTGCTATGATGAATTATTAAAGACAGAATGAAATGTTTAAGCAAAATACGTAGCCAGAAATTGGTTATATAGTAGGAGTATTAATGACATGTTATAAGTTATTTAGACTCATTATGATGACTTATTATTTTAGTTTCCTTCTTTGAATTAAAAAACCCATACATTAAAATTTCTTAAACTAAATAATTTTCACCAATATATTTAAGTTTTATATTAATTATACTAGAGGCCCAGTGCACAAAATTCATGCATGGGTAGGGTCCCTAGGCCTGGCTGGTGATTGGGGCCTTCTGGCTGCCAGCCAGGGCCTCCCTTCATTCCACGCCGCAAGCTGGTGGTCAGCACATGTCATAGCGAGCGATCAAACTCCCTGTCGAACTCCCGTTGGGACACTGCATATTAGCCTTTTATATATATAGATACCTGAAGTACAGAGTAGCTAGGTAACTTTGATATCTGTATAATAGGAAAGAAACGTATTTTTTGTAGGAATACATTAGAAATAGCAGAAATTTCAAGGTTTATTCCAGGCTTGCTAGGTTGTTTTTTAAGGATTTATTACATTTGCAATACAAAGATAGAGTATCTATTATGTACCAAGCACTTGTTATAGGGGGTGAAGATACAGTGATGAGAAACAACACTGTATATGTCCTTGAAAAACCCCCAGTCTAGGAGGAGACAAGTGAGTCACCACAAAAGTTACAATACAGTGTGGTGAGTGCTTCCATAAAGGTGTGCATAAAGATCTGTTGCTTAGGAATTTTTAGTTTGATTTTATATTTTAAACCTATTTGGGGTTAAATTTTTCATTAGACCTAATTATGCACAAAAGGAAAATATTCACTATCTATATATATAAAAAACTAATATGCAGAGTGTCCCCTCAGGCGTTTGATTGCTCACTATGATGTGCACTGACCATCAGGGGGCAGTGTGGAATGAAGGAAGGCCCCGGCCAGCGGCCAGCAGCCACAAGGGACCCTACCCATGCACAAGTTTTGTGCACTGGGTCTCTAGTCTTTATATATTTGAGGAAAGTATATTGTCATGCTAATTTCGCTGATTTAACTAGACTGGCAGTACTAGATACTAAATCTTACAAGCCTGTTATTCTGAAGTATAGTTTAGGAACTGAAATTAAAGAAACATTTACGAGTTTAGGTATATAAAGAGATACTGTTTTCTATGTATTTAAAATGTGTTGATTTTTATAAGCAGACATTGTTTACATCCCTTTCATAGATGTTTTTACCCCCAAAGTTAAATTTGCATATTAAAATGAATAGAATTCTAATTATAGCTGCTCTTAAAGTTGAGATATATAAATTTTTGTATAACATTATTTCTTATCTTAAAACTTAACCAAACTAAAATTCAGCCCTGGCAATACTATGATCCTTTTGATATACTAAAAGGTATTTTTCTGTTAAGTAAAATGAATAAGAAAATCATACCAGTATAATGATATTATTTGTAAATTCATAAAGTACCTTTATTTTAGTTTATTGCAGCTGTGACATGCCTTTTGTTTCTTATGTATTATAATTAATTTTTCTCAATTTGATCTTTGTGTCCATATTTTTGGTGTCCGGACTTTTCCATGAGTGTTTAACATGCATGTCGTGAAATTTAACAATCTGTGGCTTCAAGGTTTTGAATCATGCTTAGAATGTCAGATTTTTTTTTGTAAAAATTTTCCTCATGATTCTTTTAGTACTTTTATTGTTTTAGAGGTGGTGGGAGTGCACATGCATTTTTTAAAAGTATATCTGGAATTTATTTAAGAGTAAATAATAACTTAAGAGATTTAACCTCCCTCTCTCCAGTTGGATACTCAGTTGTCCCAATATCAATAGCCCTTTTTCATGCTGTTCTGTACTGCTTCTCTTCCTTATTTTCTTTGTACTATTTATTTGTCTGTCTGAGCTTATTTTTTAGTGGGAGAAATATTGACAAATAAAATGATAAATAAGAGTAAAGTCTATAATTAAAAAAGGCCGAGTAACCTGGTAGCCAGTGACTGGAGAGTTTCCTCTTTGAGAAGGTAATATTACTCTGATCTGAATATCAAGGAGTGAGTAGCTGTGCTAAAAAATCTGGTTAAATACAGTGGGGCCTTGACTTACGAGTTTAATTCGTTCTGAGACCGAGCTCATTAAGGAGCTCGTTAACTCAAATTACTCTGTCAACTCAATGCAAAAAATCCACTGAGAGACAGCTGGTATCTCAAAAAACTCGTTAGTCGGGACACTCGTAAGTCAAGGCCCCACTGTAATTTTTCACATAGAAGAATTGACCCCAGGGTGGAAATGATCTCCATCTCTTCCCAGAGTAGAGTGATTATAGGAATGTAGTGAATGGAGGGAAGAGTAGTGAGAGGTAATAGTTGGAGAAGAGGGCCAAGGAGAAAGCATGTTTTATGTAGGGATTTGTAGGTCAGATGGAGGAATTTGGATTTTATTTTAACTGAAGGAAACTATTCAAGAGTAGTGTTTAAGAATTTAAATGATCTACGGTAAATTTTTAATTTTTTTTCTCCTACAAAAAGAGGAAATATAGGAGATTAGATAATTTGTATATCAAATAAATAGGTTCTTATGTAATTAGGAGCTTATTTCTATATATATGTGACCCTATAGCAAATTTACTTCATTTTTAAATAATTTTACATTTAAAGAAAACAGATTTTTAAAAATCATAAGTACCAAGAGTTTAGGACTCAAAGGATAAAGAATCGGCTTGCACTAAATAGAACTCTTTAAAGGACAATTGTATGATGTGTTTTAAAATAATATGTTTTTTCTCTTAAAATGTTTCTATTAGGGAACAGACATCCTTGGAAGAGGGAGAAATTCCTTGGTTGCAGTACAATGAAGTCAATGAAAGCAGCAGTGATGAGGGAAATGAGCAGGCTAATGAATTTGCACAGCCAGAGGCTTTCATGTTGGATGGTAACAATAACCTTGAGGATGACTCCAGTGTGAGTGAAGATTTAGATGTGGACTGGAGGTAGGTAGCAGTGTTATCACCATGCTTAATTGTTCATTGAGTAGAATTTGTTCATGATTTTAAATTATGAAAACTGAATCTCCGGTAGCTAAAAAGTATTCTTATTTCCCCATCTTCTTCAAAGCTCATTTCATAGGTTTACTTCCTACAGGGACACCTTCCTACTTATTCCAGTCAATGACCTCTTCCATCTTTGACATTTAGCTCTCTTAAAGTTCACCTTATTATATCCCAGTGAATTATACACTCGTGGTTTGAGATTTCCAGCTTTTAAATTTACCCTTATATGCTAAATATAGCACTTAGTATAATCCTGTGTGTATTGTTGTTGTTTTTTTAAACAAGGTCCTGAACATTATTTGAAGAATTTTAAAACCTGTGATTGGATCAGAATCATAGAATATAATTTTCCTTATTTATATATTTTAAATAGAAACTATAATAGTACTTACCCAGAAATGTTGTAAGTATTAGATTTAGGCTGACAAAGAACAGCTTCAAGTAAAAGTAACATGAATTAAGTGCATTACGTCTCATGCTGGTTAGAATAGAGCATCTTTCAGGTGTGCAGTAGCCCTTTGTAAGCAGCTAATTGTTGAGATAAGGAAAGGATGTTCCAACTGATCATTTTTGTTATTTTTTCTAGGAAAAATATGGCTTAGTACTACCCATGTTTGCATGTCTGCACAGAAATGTTTTAAAGAATGTCTTGTTTTTTCTAGTAAAAATATCATTACAGAAAATTTAGAAAAATAAAGATAAGAAAAACTCATTTCTATCCCCTGATATCTCCACAAATTTTATTTTTTTAAGCCATCTTATACATCTTCAATTTCTCTTTTTGTGTGTGTAGCTACTTTGTGCTTCTCCATACACGAAACTCAACATCTCCTTGAAATCCTTCTTACCGTTTCTGTTCTCACTTCCATGGGGAGGTGAGGAGGTAGAGAATTATATGTGCAGAGCAGATTTCTATTGACCATTTTGTGGAAGTACAAGTGGAATTTTATCACAGCCACAAAAACAATCTGTATTTCTATCTTAAACATTCCCTTTCTCCAGAGCCCATTTTCTGGCTTCCCAAACATTATGGAAAATCAGTGACTTCACCTAGTCCTAGCCTTGCTGATCTTCTTCTGTCTGCCCTCTTACTGAACTCATTTATTCTGGTGTCTTATCTCTCCATGTGCAAAGTCATTCATTCCTCAAAGAACTCAGCAGATGACAGAATTATCTATTTAGATCAGCGGTTGCCAACTGATGATCCACAGACCATTGGTGGTCTGTGAGGTCCGAAAGGTTGGCGACCACTGATTTAGATCATCTGTGTATGTCAGGAGGCAATTTTGGTTTCATTTTTATCTATTGCACATTTTGAAAATTTTGTAAAAATAATTTTTTTACATATCTTTTTATTGATTTCAGAAAGGAAGACAGAGGGAGAGAGAGATAGAAACATCAATGATGAAAGACAATCATTTATTGGCTGCCTCCTGCATGCCTCACACTGGGGATTGAGCCCGTAACCCAGGCAGGTGTCCTGCCCGGGAATCAAACCGTGACCTCCTGGTTCGTAGGTTGACACTCAAACATTGAGCCACGTTGGCTGGGCTGTAAAAATAATTTTTTACAGCTCCTTTATGATGCTCCATTCTATAGAAGGAAGGCCTACCCTTGCACGAATTTTGTGCATCGGGCCTCTAGTGTTAATATAATTATGTCTTCACCATAAAGATTTCCCAAATCAGGGTCGTATTTTTTTTTCCAGTCTGTTTGATGGCTTTGCGGATGGATTAGGAGTTGCTGAAGCTATTTCTTATGTGGATCCTCAGTTCCTCACCTATATGGCACTAGAAGAACGCTTAGCCCAGGCTATGGAGGTATTTTAATGACTCTGATGCCCATGTATGTTGGTGGGGTGCACAATAAGAAAAAGTAAAATATTTTTAACTGCTCTTAAGAAAAGGTGAATAATTTCTTTATCAATTTAATAACAAGTACTGATTACTGATTGCTACCAGTGTGTGTATATAAATTACACTTGACATCCTGCCAATTTTCCTAAAATTTTTACTACAGAATGGAAAATGTTTTGCTTACATTTATAATACAGTGGGGCCTTGACTTACTAGTGTCCCGACTAACGAGTTTTTTGAGATACCAGCTGTCTCTCGGTGGATTTTTTGCATTGAGTTGACAGAGTAATTTGAGTTAACGAGCTCCTTAACGAGCTCGGTCTCTGAACGAATTAAACTCGTAAGTCAAGGCCCCACTGTATACACTTTCCTCTATTAAATTATATGGGTCTGTGAATTTGAAAATTTTATACACACATGCACAGGTATATTTGTGAAATGAAATTGAAAATCTCTAAGGATATATTACAAATCACCTACCTTTTTTTGTTCATACAGATTCTAAATAATATCTTTTGCTTAATGCATACACATTTTAATAAATAGCATATTTGATTTCTAAGTTTTTTGTCTTGCGTTTTGTCTTTTTATTTAATCATTTTGAAAAATGAAGCTAAAATGTATAATTTATGATTTTTTCTTTTAGATTTAACACTAACATTCTTTTAGTGAAACTAAAACAAATAATAAGACAAACTGTGCTTTTATTTGTTTTTGTTTTTTTTCTCATGCAGCCCTAACTCTTTGTTTTTATTTCTGTTATTTTTCAATAGTAGACTGATCTTTCTTTTCAGGTAATGGTTGTTAAGAAAATAGTGTCAATAAACATTTGCTTCATAGCTGTGTCTCAAATTTGAATGAGAATAGGGCTAAATAGTTAAGGTTTGAAGCTTATTACTTGCTCCCAAATTTTTTGGGAAAAAGTATCCCTGCCATTATATTGACATCTAAAAATTTATAGCCTAAATTCTAAGTAATATTGTTTATCCTATGATATCTCTTTGCAGTAAAAATATGTTTAAGAATTTAAATGTAAAAAGTAAAGTAAGTTGAGTTAAAATTGTTAGGAGTAGTGATGAAAAACAAATGTTCACTTAAAATTTATTTTTTAATTAAATTTATTGGTTAATAAACATATAGATTTCAAGTGTACAAGTCTATGATGTGTTATCTTTATATTGCATATAATAGTTTTGATAAATAATTATTTAAACATAAAGTAAAATTTTTCTGGTAAAATGCATCTCTTAACGAAATGGAGGCTTTTTCTCCCTAGTTACCTTATCAGTGAGTTTTATGTACTCCTACAATGAGACATAGTTCAGCATCAATTTTATTTCTTTTTTTTTCATCTTTATGAATATAAGCTTGAGAGACCTTGTTCATGTAAGTTGATAGGGATGGAAGGAATTTATCATAGCCTTTTCACTCAAGCCTTGCTAAAATTACATCAACTTGGCAAGTTGTTTAGATCCTCTTTCAGTTTTTTCGAAAGCAGAGGATCGGAAGCCATCTACAGAGATTTGTTATTCAGTCCGTAGAATTCAGTTTGACCCACGTATTTCAAATTGCTCCTTTGGATGAGTAAGAAGTATGTTTTTATTTATAAAGTGAGGGATGGTTAGTAGAAAGAGGAATGTAAGAACAGGGCAGCATGTTTCTTTAACTGCAGATGCATTATTAGGCAGATAAGTTTGAGGAAAAATTACATAAGAAAGTTCATTGAAATTGAGTCTCTTTGAGACCCTGCTTACCCTTGGGCCCCTTGAAAAGTCTTTACATACTTAACAGAGCACCTCGCATATACTGAGGTGAAAGCCTTAGGAAGCTAAACATGAGGTTAAGAGCATGGTTTTTGAGATAGATTCTTTAAGGCTATGTGACCTTGGAGAGTTAACTCTTTTAAGCTTCTAGGCCTCTATAAAATGAGAATAAAAAAATTTACTTCATGCGTTATTGTGAAATTGTGTTTAAACACTTAGCAAAATACCTGGTACAGTGGGTAGGTTCTCAGTAAATGGATATATTCAAATTAGTAGTCAACCAACTGGTACTTATCTTGCATATCTGGTCATTATTAAATCATTTGTTATATAAATCTCCATTCTTTAAAAACTAAATCCTGTTTTATTCTTTAGAAACTAAATTTTGTGCTGACAAAGGAATGCATTACTTTAATCCTAGATATATTCCAGTTAGGCTGTTTAAGCTGTTTAGTTGTCTTTCTAACTTTTGAAAATATTTTGTACTCCCTCAGATGTAAATTTTTACATCTTTATAGATTTTCATAATAGTGGCTATAAAATGGTTTCTCTTGTTCTTGTTGCTTATAAGTGATCCCAGATCACCTTAAATATTTGTCAGTATCAAGGCAATAAATTATTTCTATATTTATGAAATTCCATGTATTTATTAGCACTGCAAATGTGTAGATAATCATTAGAAAAGAATAATGAATCCATTAAGACAAACATGTTATGAAAATACAGTTAACCTGGAATAACCTCCCCCCACACCCCCCAAAAAATGGGACTTATTAAAAATAGTATTTCTCCTTTTTGTTTGTGTATAACACAGATGAATTCTTGCAGAGTCTATCTTGGGAAGTACATAAGGGGCAATCAGGCAGGCAGGCAAGAGGTTATGGGTGATCAGGCAGGCAGGCAGAGTGGTTAGGGGTGATCAGGCAGGCAGGTGAGTGGTTAGGGGTGATTATGCAGGTAGGAAGGCAAGTGGTTAGAAGCCAGTGGTCCCGGATTGCGAGAGGGATGTCTGACTGCCTGCCAATTTAGGCCCAATCCCGCATGGATCGGGCCTAAACCGGCAGTCAGACATCCCCCGAGGGGTCCCGGATTGCGAGAGGGTGCAGGCTGGGCTGAGAGCCCCCCACCCCTCCATGCACAAATTTCATGCACCGTGCCTCTAGTTAACTATAATGGGATTAGAGTAACAAGGGATTGCTTAGTAAGGAATAAAGATAATTCTAAAGAATATAGAAAAACCATGTATAAGGAGCAGTCACCACCTGTAGAGCAAAGGTCACGTAAGGAAGGGTCACCACTCCCACTCCAGGGCTGGGATTCAGACCTTGATGAAAATGGCATAGCTGTGGCTTAATGAGTGGCAGAGAAGTCACTGGTGCTCTGCTGGCTTGAAATCAGCCCTGTAGGGTGCTAGGGAAAGCTATATTCACAGGGAGATGTCTGACTGGAAGCACTCTGCTACTAAACTATCCAAGGGGATGCTGAGGAATCTACCTGCCACTTGGTGCTTCTGCTGCATGCATTTCCAGAGCTAGACATTGAGAAGCTGTGCATATTGCAGGAGTCTGGTGCTAGAGAAAGCCACACCTGCCACAGAAGCCTGCCAAGTGGCACACTGGGATCAGAAGCAAAGTCCTTTTCCTCTTACAGGGCCTCCTTAGTGTCCTCTGTGAACAAGCTTAACAACATAACAGATGTCAGAAGAGAAAATCTTTAAATGGCCCAAATCCATTTTCACAGAGCTGACAAGAATGGTGAATTTGGATCTGAGCAGCAATCATGGATAACTAAAATAGACATCTCTTTCACTACTTGGGTTCCATATATACCTTTCTGCACACATTTGAATTCCCAACTTGCCTATTTTTATGTTGTGTATTTTTTAACAAATTGTTGTTAAATAATAGTTATTTTAATACTGTTGTTCTTTAACCTTTATACTTGCCTAAATTGGTTAATACACCATCATATTACAGTATCAGAGTATTCTGAATTTGACTATATACTTACCTTTACCTAGCACATTTGTTTATCTATTCATAGATACTTGGGTTGTCTCCACCTTTTTGGACTTGTGTATATAAGTCCTACTGAAGTTCTAATCTAATTGTAGCCAGGAAAGTGAATCAGTTCACAAAAGGATGATGGCGACTTGTATTAGATGATCATATATCTAATGTTCTTTCCTTCCTTGTTAGAATAGTAACATTATATAAAATTCTGTACCCCTGAATAAAGTTCATAACCCAGATAACTTAGTAATACTAAATACTAGTGAGCTAGTAATGTGGGTGTACTGACTCTAAGATAGTAGTAGATATTGCTATTCACGAATGCATTATTTGGTTGCATATCTTGAACATCTATTAACCATGGCTACATTTTATCTTTCATGAGTTGAACCTGTTCAAAATGTTTACATTCTTTATAGTATTGATCCCATAAGAAACTCATAAGTTGAATGAGGTAGCCACTCTTCTGAAAATATAAATAGGGTGGACAAGTAGATGGTTATTGAAACAAAATAGATTTTTGTTATATTTATGAAAAGTAGGGCTCTTATTTTTTGGTATGTTTTTGATGTTTGTTTGATGGTGGTGATGATGGTTCCTTTTGAAAGGAGGCAAAAGGGCAAGGGACTGAAGCAAAGTAAACTAACAGAAGAGACTAATGGTGGATATAAGTTCGGAAGATACCTTAAAAATAGTTTTCTATTACTGCTTTAAAGTGTTTCCTAACAAAGAACTGTGACTTTTATTTTCAGACTGCCCTGGCACATTTAGAGTCTCTTGCAGTAGATGTTGAGGTAGCCAATCCACCAGCCAGTAAGGAGAGCATTGATGGTCTTCCAGAGACACTTGTTCTTGAGGATCACACTGGTAAGAAGGGCAAAGTTGATCTCTAATGCTGAATGACACATTGCATGTTTAAGTATATAATTATATGCACCTAGAAGATAAAGTACTATTATAAACTCTTACTAAATTTTCTATGAAACCAGATTCTGAAAAACTTTTACCTAGTGGAAGAATATTTTTAATTATTAAGTGATAGGTTGGGACAAATGTTCCCTAGTCAACTTTCTACAAAAGCAATGTTAATTAAATTTCAAATCGTCATGTATTAGAAACATGTTTGACAATTTATTGATCAAAGTCTGGTTCATTTGTCTTTCACAGGCATCATCTATGAGTTCATAGGTTGATTTTCAGTTTTATTAAAATTGAACTTTATCGGATTAATATATCTAATTCCTTGTTGTTTTTAGCTATTGGTCAGGAGCAGTGCTGTCCAATCTGTTGTAGTGAGTATATCAAAGATGATATAGCAACAGAGTTACCCTGCCACCATTTTTTTCACAAACCTTGTGTCTCAATTTGGCTGCAGAAGGTAAGTTTTAGATTTACTTCCTTTAAGTTAATATTTTAATAGTTTTCTCCTACAACTTAAGGATGACAGTAATGTCTTTTAATCCTATTTATTTCACTACGTACTTATAGTACTTTTGAGTTCAGTTTAATTCATTTTAATTAAAGTCAGTTACCTTTTAATGACTACAGATTAATGGTAATATCAAACTATTTTACTTTACTGACATTGTCTAAAAAACAGTGCAGACAACCTGAACTACTTAACATATTTGATCATATCCCAGAAATTAGGTGTTTTTAGAAATACCTCAAGCAAAGAAGCTTTTGGCACTACTCAGAGTAATGTAACAATATACCGATATTCTGATAATATGTATCAGTGTCTCTTATATGAGAAATGTTTAATAAACTACCAACTATCTTATATTCAAACCTTCATATATTACCCTAAAATATTTATCCCAAAATTTTAAGTATATTTGAATTATATACTTAAAGAAAAATAGAGTTTTATTTAAATCTCTGTTACCTCTATTTTTGCATAAAGAATTTTTACATGCAGTTTAGTGGAAATTCCCAAATCACTTTCCCAGCTGCTTATTATGAAAATAACTCTCTCTTTCCTGTAACTGCTCCCTTCTTTTCCCCCTTCCTTTCTTCCTCGCCTCCTCTTCCTCTCTCCCTTCTCTTTTCTTGCTGTTGCTCCCCTTAAAAGTCAAAACTCTACTTAACACTTTTAATATCCAATGCAGAAAATGTCACCATTCTTTTATAAATTCTAAAGTTTCTGTCTTGGCTTTTAAGGCCTTCTGTGATCTTGCTCCCAGCCTATCTCTGCAGATTTACTTCTGTAACTTCGCTCATGTTTGCTTAGCCTGGTGTGGTCTTCCTCTGCACCTGCAAGATTAGATGGTCCTGCTTAAATTTCACCTTTTCTGTTATTAATATCCCCATTCTTTAAACATCTACAATAGTACCAAAGCCTTAATAAGGATTTAGTGTTTTGTGTGTCAGGAACTGCTAGAGCAGTGGTTCTCAACCTTCCTAATGCCGCGACCCTTTAATACAGTTCCTCATGTTGTGGGGACCCCCAATTTCATGGTTACAAATTGAACATAATTAAAGCATAGTGATTCATCACAAAAACAATATGTAATTGTATATGTGTTTTCCGATGGTCTTAGGCGACCCTTGTAAAAGGGTCTTTCAACCCCCAAAGGGGTCGCGACCCACAGGTTGAGAACCGCTGTGCTAGATGATTCATGTGTATTTTCCCATTTATTCCTCACAATAACTCTGGGACATACAAGATGGGGCAAAAATGGGTCTATAATTGTGAGCACATGAAACAGAGTTTATTCTTGTATTATTATTTATTAATTATTATATTACTTTCCATACAAACAACTGTAACCCTACTTTTTCCCACTCTGCACTGGCATCTTTATTCTCATTTTCCAATGATTGTTACTTGTACAAGGTTACACAGCTAGTATGTGCTTGTGTAGAAACCACACACATCTATCTGACTCTAACATGTTGCTGTTAAGGCTCCAATCTGTATGGCAGGTGCCCAACAAAATGTTGGCAGGATTAAATTCTTAAATTGTAAACATATTGTTGTATAGTCATGACTTGTCATTGACTTGGCTATAACTCAAGGCAATAATCTCTGTAGTTTCTTTCCTGTCAGGAAACAGCTTAGTGTGAAGCCTTTCCTCTAGGGAGAAGGTTCCCAAGATACAAATCTTGGTCACCTTTAACAGCATGATTTCTTCAACCCGCTTTCTATCAGGGAGGTTGCTTTGGGAAAAAGACCAGACTTGCAAAAGAATAATCTTAACACCAGATGACATATCTCTGGAATTGTTTGTTCCTACAATGGTATACTCCCAGTATAGCTGCTGTCCCTGTCCCACCCTCCCTGTCAGGTCTGTGGTTGATTTGTTTTGTCATTTAGAAAGCATCTAACTCGCCACATCATCATCAGTATCATCACCAGTATAGGTGAGGACATGCCCTGTGACTCCTTGCTCACTCCCTACAGCAGCACCATTGCCAACCAGGGAGTGTAGTGGACTCTCAATGAATAATCACTAAATGAAAGATGAGTGATGTAAAAGATACAAACATGATTAAGAGACACAGTTTACCCTAAAGGAATTAGTGCCTTTTTGGGATAAAAGGAAATAGCATCAAAGCAATAGCATCTGTACTGTGTAGGTTTGACGTTTATTTGGTTTTTAAGTTTTCTGTTTTGTTTTCAGGATAATGATACTGTTTTGTCTTTAAGATACTTGTGTGGTAGTTAAGGCCTTCTCATTGGCTATGAACTTGTTCTTCTCCCTCCAGTCAGGAACATGCCCTGTGTGCCGTCGTCATTTCCCACCTGCAGTTATTGAAGCATCTGCAGCTGCTTCCTCTGAGCCTGGTCACGATGCCCCACCTTCAAATGACAGTACTGCAGACGCTCCTTAAACCTTAACACTTGAATGAGATCATTCTATAAAGTAAATCTGAAAATTCCTTCTAAACCTGATGTGCAAATAATTATATATAAATATATTAAAATGCTATATATAGTCTATGCCATAGTTTAGAAAGAGAATATTGACCTTTCTAAACTAGTATAGGTTTGCAGAAAGTACTAACATTTTCAAGCTGAATGTTGAAGCAGTACATCCAGTTTTTTTTTTTAGTTGAAGGTGTTGATATTAATTGTAAAAGTTAAGCTGATCATTTGACTCTCTCCAGAAGAAATAATTATCTGTGTGGCACGCGTTACTGGTTTTGTCTGAATATTGCCACTAAGTGATTATAATTAGCTCTCCTATTTGCATCAAATGTGAAGACTATAATCACAACAGTAGTAAAGTTTGGTTTCATTGGAAATAAAAAGAATTCTAAAGCATGCTTTTTCATTGGTCCCTTTGCTTTTGCTACATCAAAACCTCTTGGTTTATAATACTGAGTGGTTTTTTAGGAAGGTGTCTATAGTCTTCCATCTTTGTTTAAAATTAGGACTTCTAAAGAATTTCAAACTGGCTAAAATTGTGGCTGAGCATCACAAAATTTCAAAATCTTATATGTAACCCCCTGGAAATGGGTAGGTAGTAAGATAAATTATTTTTTTAATGTTGGATGTGCTTAAAGTCAGGTTAGTAAAGCATATGAACTATCTAGTGTGCTCAGCGCCTGGTGAATTAGATGGCCTTATAGAAATTCTTTCTACTTGGTTAAAATGATACTTGAAGGTTCAGAACACCCCTGGCACATTTGTTTAATAACTATTAGGCATAGTTATTGTAAGATGATTTTGGTTCTGAAATATTTTAGAAAGTCTGAAAACATGCATAAAGGGTTTTTAACACTCATTCTATTGTATCCTAAAGGAAAATCTGAATCCTTAAAAAAACTATGTTAACTGTTCTGACTTGTATAAAGCATAAAATTGATGGGGTATAGGACAAAATTGATCATACCTTTTTTACAACATATCTAAACTTTACTATGTTATAATTTATTTCTTTAAAGTTTCCTGAACAAATATTATTTATATCACATTATCAGTATTTGTTTCTTTACACTAATTTATTTTGGTAAAATTATTCACCTGGAACTAAAATAAAAATAAGTAGTTTCAAATTAAGCCAAATTAAGCCATGGCTGAAAAGGAAGTAGATTATATGATTGCCTAGTGACTGTGTGAACAGAACTTAACATGTAACACAGCTTCTTTCTTATTTTCCTTTGTTTAAAGGAGAAAAGAAGATCCTGACCTCAGATTTACCCTCTAAAAGAGTTTTCTGTTCAAAAGCTTCTTCTACAAAAGTAAGGAAGTCAGTTTTCCTTATTCTTTTTATGGGAAATTGACCTACAAGGCCATCTTTGTAATTACATAACCCCCAACGAAGACTGCACAGCTTTCTGCTTAGGTGATCTCAACCAATAGACAATTATGTATAAACATGGATGCAATATTTAACTTATGGATATGATTTGATATCAAACACCAGAGAATGATGGCTGTTAGAATACCACATTTGAGCAAGTAAAATAGTAAAGCACATAGTGAGTGTACATCCATTTGAGTAGAAAATTTATAATTTAGTTTGGACATATAAAAGGAATATTTATGTGGCTTCCCAAATGCAAAATTACATTTATATGTGTAATTTCTCTGAGTATTTATATTCCATCTCTTTTCTTCATTCTTAAAAATAAGTGAATTTTCACTGTTGTCATATTTGAGGCTTAAATATATAGGAATATAACACTTGCATTCTAATTTTTGCATATATTGTAAATGTGTCTGGTATTTACAGCAAATACTGTGTATCCTTTTATGAGTAAAACAAACTGAACATTGCATGTATGTGATGTGGTGACTTTGTAACTTAGGGGTTCTTTGGGGCTTCTGTGACTTTGGAAATGCTTACATTCAGGCCTTAATGTTGCATTAGCTGGCATGTTTTCCTTCTGATGTACATAGTCTCTGTTGTATAAACTAATCTTTGCTTGTTTTCTACTCTGTGATCTTTCCACATCATATTTCATTGATCAGTTAGTGTCAAGGAGTCAAATCAGATTAAAATGAATTCTCATGTGTATATTGTGAAAATTTGTGACTAGTATGATTTTGTTTGTTTCTTTTTTGGTTTCCAGAAATTTGTGGCTAGTGTTTTTTTATGTTGTTGTTTTTCCCTTTAAGTAATATTGATCAGTTACTGGTTAAACTGACTGCTACAGATTTCTCTTTAATAAGCCACACGTTATATTTAGGCAGTATTAAGGGAGCTTGGTTTTTTTCTCCTAGATAGCAGTTGTCCCAAAGAAAATATTTCTTCTTTGCCTGTTAAGATTTAGCTATTATCTGCCAGTTGTTAGGCAGTTTTGGTTCCAAACTCAACCAGCAGCGTTGAGAGCTGAATTTAAGATAGCTGTTGTACTTTTTGCTTTCCATCTGTTTCTGTCCTTCATTCTTGGCTCTCTGTTACCTATAAACAGCTGTTATGAAGGAAGAAAGTTAAATAAGAGTTGGATTATAAAAATTTTTTAAAAGAAAATTGAGGTTTTAGGTATTTTCATTGTAACAAGCTGATAAAAGCTGAGGCTGACAAGTTCAGACACCAGAATATTGTTTGGTCAGATTTTGGATCCTTTTGAAAAAGTTAAGACTACATGAAGGTAAATAAGAAATAAGTATAAATAATAAAAATGTTTTTTCCCTTACTTCTCTATTATATGTTAAGTTACTTGACCTAATAATTTTTCTTTTACATTTTCTTCTTGTAATATAAATGCTGATATTTAAAGATAGATCCATATGGTTTTCTTTTGTGTTGCTTAATTGTTTATCTGTAAGCTAACTCTCAAGATTATTTGTGATCTGGATTTATATATAAGCTGTTAAATATGTATGAACTGTTCAAATGGAATGCAAGTTTTTCAAAAGCCCAGGTCTAAATGTAATGATTGGTTTATTGTTCTACAACTCCACTCTCATTTTCTGTAAATCATAAACAATAAACAGGATATACTCAGTGGTCATTTCTAATATTTAATTGGGCAGTCGTATCACTTCTATAATGTAACCCCTGGAGGATTTAACATTAATGGCAAAGGATACAGCTGTCAAGGAAGTCTGGAGCAGGCTCCCAAGCACATGATTTTATAGTCCTTGAACTGTGATCTAAGAAGGCCCAGCTGTGTAGAAGTGGCTGGTGGACTTGCTTCTGGAAGGGCTCTGAAGAAGTAGTCCTGCTCTCCCCTGCCCAACCATCATAGCAGTCCTGTGTGTTCAGCAGAGCCTGACTTCCACACTAACTCAGGACTGCAGACACCCTCAAAGTTCCAGGATGGACACCGCCTCGATTCAGTGGCTTCTCCAAATCAGGTATGGCAGTATTGTCAAATACTGTTTAGGAGGGCTCCTCATGCTTTCCAAAAGGTTCAAAAACCTCACCCATTTCAGAAGGGTAAACTGAGAACCATCATATCTGCATTAAATTAGAAAACTGTAATCACTTTGATTCTCCCTTAATATAATAAACATTTTCTAGAAAAATGCAGTCACAGAAACAGCAATGGCACACCTCTTTCTAGTGCCAAAATCCATTTATAATTGTCATATATTTTTGAAGCCACTGCTTCCAGAGTTGGAGTCACTCAGCACTCCCTATGAGAGATGGATTTTGTTGTTAGAATTGTCACCCAAATGATTTTATAAATAGCACACATGTGAAATTACATAGAAAGGTCCTGTCTCTTGTGTATTGCCACCTCTTCATGTCTTTCTTCAGGCTTCACACTTTTCTCAGATCTTTCATGGTAACCATTCCAGACCAGCCTGGCATTGGCTCTTTCAGTCCCTCTCTTACAATATGGTGCTCAAGCCGTAGCCAGTTTGGCCTGTGGACTGAAGGGTCCTAGGTTCAATTCCTGGTCAGGGCACATGCCTGGGTTGTGGGCTCGATCCCCAATGGGGGGGCATGCAGGAGGCAGCCAATCAATGATTCTCTCTCATCGATGTTTTATCTCTTTTTCTCCCTCCCCCTTCCTCTCTGAAATCAATAAAAATTTTATATATATATATATATATATATAAATAATCTCAGAACTAAACATGGTTCCTCTGTGGTCTGACTAGAACTGGGTCTAGGAGCATTACTGCCAAATTCAGAGTGATTTTCCTATGACTGGTCTATGTTGATATTATTTTCGTTACTGTACATTACTTGGCAGGCATATCACATTGTTGTCTCTTGTGAACTTTACAGGCATTGCTGGTAAGTCAAATCCATTCCTAATAATTACTTAATTCATCCTTACTAAGTTTAATTTATAAAGGTCCTTATGACCTCTTGATTCTTCCTCTTAGCCTGTGTCAGTCCAATTTTGATGAAGCATGCCTTTGGTATTTAGTGGTGTTGTCCAAATCATTGATAAATATTGACCAGAACAGGATGAATGCCACTATAGACTGCCCTCCAGGTGACTTTGATCCATTAGTCAGTACTTTGAATATAGTTGTTGAAGCAACTACCAGGCACTTTTATGCTCATGTTTCTTCATCTTTCCTAAAACAACACTAAGAAATTTTATCATGTTTGGCCGACAGGCAGATTACACTGTATATGGAAATAGCCTTGCCTGCTAAAATTAAGAAAGGAAATGAAGTTAGCAGGAAATACCTCATTCTTAGTGAAACCACCTCCTTTTCCAACTGCTCACATGCCATCTCTTTATTAATCTGACCTACAATTTGATAAGTGATCATTGTCAAGTTCATTTTTCTAATTTTTAGAGTTTACTTTTTTCCTCTCAAATATGTGGTATTTGAAGTAATATGACCTTCACAGGTCACTTAATCCTCTCTGCTTCTGTTTTCTCTATAAAGTAACGAATCTAAATTACCACTGGTTGGTGCATGAATAAAGTTTTTAATAAATGTTCTTTGGTTTGCGTCCATCCTTGTTTGATTTTAACACTACCTTTAGGTTTGATAAACATTTCAGATGAAAACCTAAAAACTATGTTAGTCCCTTCTCAGGAGTTAAAAGAATTTGACAGGTGATCTTTATTAAATCATAATAAATAAAATTTAATAGTAATTTTGCTAAAAGACTACATGCCTGTATGTGGCAATTTATTGCATCTTGGTTATAATCAGTATATAGTTTTAATAGTGGAAAGTGAAAGGAGAGGTCTTTGTCTTTTTTATCTTTTTAAAAAGATACTACCTTATAATCATTCACTGTAACTGACATTCTCCACAAAGTTCTCCTTTTTTTCCCTGTGATTATAACACAGTATTTCTTCTTAATAAGATTCATTGAAAAATGTATTTTTATATTATAAGATTAGTTCTCATTTATGAAGTGCTAAAAATTAGACATTCTGTTAGGCTCTCTGTTTTAGCTAATAATTCATAATGAATCTGAGGTGGTCCCAACTTTACAAATAAAAATTTGAGTCCTAGTTCTTAAGCCAGAGCCTGGGGGTTCTTTCTGGTTCATGCCACCTTCCTAGGTAGGAGCATCCTACCTGATCAACATTAATAATTCAGTTTTTTGAGATATAGTCTGAGTTTTAAAAATGGGGGTGGGGAGTGGAAGGAGTATCTGTTCAAATTTCTTTTAAAAAACTATTTTGTTAGTGTTTACTTATTTTGCTAAGTTGCTATAAAGAGGCATGTTTGCCTTAAGTAATGTACCCCTTACCAAATTTCTAATGGCCTGGTTAATGAAGTTTCTTAGTCACCACTAAGACCTCGTGAGAACTACTTTTGCCTGATGATTTGGGATCCTTAAATTATTCTGCAGAGACTCTCTGTGCCCTGATAGGTGTATGACATCCAACCAGTGAGACCTCACTAGTGCAGACACCTAGACAGGTGCTAAAGTATCTGGATTTCTTCCTTCAGACAGGGACATTTGCAGTCACTCCAAAGAGGAGAGACTTTACCCCCAAATTGTTTTATCAGTAGGAAGAGACATTTGACAGGGTTTCCTTTTGATTTCAGTCCTTAAATGCTATTTTAAGTGCTTTCCAGGCATTTAAAGCTATGCTCTAATTCTATTTGTCTTTTATTCCCATTTTCTTGTTAAGAGGACTCAACTGTTATAGACAACTGTAGTAAGGGGCTTCATTACATAACATCATACTGACTAGCCTTTGGCCTTACCAAAGAATTCCTCCTCTTGACCTAGACCCAGGATCTGTCAACCCTAGCATTGCAGTACCCTGTGTTTGGTACCATTACAGAAGGTCAAATTTTTAATTTTAGTTTAAATTCACATTTAGGGTAGATGAACATAGGGATTGGGAGCTTACAAAACCAATCTTGTCTGGAACGCAAGTTCTAGCCTAGATTGGATGATGGTGAATCACAAGTGCACACCTTCGCCCTAGCCGGTTTGGCTCAATGGATAGAGCATCAGCCTGCGGACTGAAAGGTCCCAGGTTCGATTCTGGTCAAGGGCATGTACCTTGGTTGCAGGCTCAATCCCCAGTAAAGGCCGTGCAGGCGGCAGCCAATCAATGATGTTCCTCTCTCGTCAATGTTTCTATCCCTCTCCCTTGCTCTCTCTCTAAAAAATAAATAAATAAAAACCCTTTTTTAAAGAAGTGCACACCTTGACTACACCCACATACAAACACCTGAAAGATGTTAAAAAATTATTAAATACAAGTTAGCTTATGAAAATAATAGGACATCAGTGTGGCATCCTCCCTGAATTCGCTGGAAAGACACTTTCATCAAACCTAACAAATTAACTACATATCCTGAGCTGCTGTCCATTTAAAAAATGTTTATCAAGTACCTACTCTGGTACAAAATAGTGAAACTCCCTGGCCTCCTGGAGTGTGCATTATAGTGAGGAGACTATTACATGTCATGGGTCCCACGCCCCCCAGCAGCTGGATTCACTGTATGGGAAGGGTTTCCCCTTGGCCAGGGGCTCGCAGAGCCTGGGGAGAGAAACAACCAGAGCAGGGGAAATGAATAAGTGCTGAGCCCCCAAGGGGAGATCGTCAGCGACTACCCTCAGGCCCACAGATGTATAGCTATGTTGCTTCATCTATTGGTTGATCTCTTAGGAGCTTCAGTGCCCCAGCAGGTCATGATGTCTCAGAACCAGGGAAGTTTGAAAAGTGTTTCTCAGAGATGGGGCTGAGAAGAATGGACAGAAGCAAACTGAAAAGTGGTTCGCCTTGTTTCCTGTGCTATGTTTTTATTAATTTTCCCCTTTATTCGCTGTACTCTAAGGCATTTACATTTAAGCATCCAGGAAATGGAACTTAGAACAGGCAATTCCGAAACATTGCATTCCTACTGGGTATGTAGCCTCTGGTGCAAAATATTTGGGTAACCTGCTGGTGGATCCGGTCTAACATACACTGAAAACTGTCTCAGTAAAGGGCCATTGTCGGCTTTGCCACATCCTGACTCTCACAACAGTGAACCACGTGAAAACAGGCTGTTGCAGCCAGCGTGGTAAGTGCTACGCGATGCAGCTTTTAGGATAGCCCCTGCCTACCTTAGCAACAACGTGGCACAGAAAGGTGCCACATCTGGTGAGGAGGGCAGAAAAGTTGCACAGCCATTTGGGTTCTTGTGTCTCCCCCTTCCCACTGCTGTATAATGCATTTTCCTCCCCAAAATAAAGGCCTTGGAGAACCCCTGAGAGCTTGTTTAATCCATATGTAGGTGAAACGCCATGACGAAGAAGGGGAGTGCAGAGCTGCATTAGATGGCTTCACCGTAGTGCCTGCCATGGCTCTTCTACTTGAAATTTGAGCTTAGGAAGCCCCAGTCTGCGAGCTGCTGGACAAGCCAGCCTGGCCTTTGCCAGAGCAAGATATCTGTTATCTTGGTTAGGGTACAAATCTGTCCTCTGCCCTGGGGGTAGGGGAGGATAACATACCTGTCTTCTAAAACTTTCCTATATAAACGCTTTGAAAAGGCAAAACAAAGCTGTCAGTGCCTGTTTCTCAGAAGACTCCAGACACACAGGAAACTCATGAATTGTCTCCCAACACCCACAGACTTTGGGACACTGCAGGGCACAGAAACTCACTCCTAGCCAGAGCTGATTAGACTGTGGTGGGAAGACCCAAGGCCCGTGTATTCAGAGGTTGGCCAGTGACCAAGCACTAAAGACAAGACAGGCCAGCCAGGTTCTATTGCTAATGTATGTTGGGAAATAAGGAATTCCCAGTAGGAAATGGGGCTGAAACAAAAGGGTTGCATGAGATATTAAAGTTGTGAGTAGCCAAGACATGAGGAAGCCAAAATTAAGAGCAACTTGAAACCACGAGTAAAAGAAATCAAGAGAGGATTGAAAGTCTAACCGGTGTGACTCAGCGGTTGAGTGTCAACCCATGAATTGGGAGGTCACGGTTCAATTCCCCGTCAGGGCACAGGCTCAGGTTGCAGGCTCCATCTCCAGTGTGAGGTGTGCAGAAGGCATCAATGATTTTTCTCTCATCGATGTTTTTCTCCCTCTCCCTCTCTCTCTCAAAAAATAAAATTTTAAGTGGCTTGTCCCTAGCTGGTTTGGCTCAATGGATATAGCATCAGCTATCCACTGAAGGGTCCTGGGTTTGATTCTGGTCAAGGCCACATGCCCAGGTTGAGGCTCCATCCCCAGTGTGGGCCATGCAGGAGGCAGCCAACCAATGATTCTCTCTCATTGATGTTTCTATCCCTCCCCTCTCCCTCTATCTCAGTAATCAATAAAAATACATATATATTTTTAAAAGTGGATTGAAAAGGGCGCCAACTGTGGTACAGAGAAGGAAGCTGAGCCTCGTTACTGATGGAACACTAGAACATAGAAGCAGCCATAGCTGTCCTTTCCCAAGGCATCTCATCTTACTGTGCAATACCCTCTGCCACCCACACTGTTCATGGGCATCCTTTATAATAACACACAGCTATTACTGCAGAGAACTTGAGTGAGTCTCTTAGTTAAGGAAACTCTGGTTATAAAGAACAGAAGAGGTGCAGAAAAATGTAGGACAGCGAGGGGAAATGGCTAACATTTACTGAGGGCATCCTACATGCACCAGAAACTTTAATAGGTGGTTTTATATGCATTATTTTAGTTTATCCTAACGAACATTCGTAGAGCTAGACTATTCTCCAAAAGGCATCCAAAGGTTAAAGAGCTGCCTAGGGTCACCCAGCTAGTAAGGGAGTTGGGATCATAGGTGAGTTAATATTCAAGGTAAGTACAAATGAAGTAAATTTCAGCTCCTAACCTGCAAGTTCAATAGCTTTTCATAACTTTGTCTCAGTGGAGATGAAAACACTAAACATTTGGATCAAAAACTATGCAGAAATTGGTAGTTACCTGTCTTAATAACCAGAGAATAAGCCCGAAGAGGCTAAGGAGAGTAGCCTAAACATTGATTTATTCTCCTACCTGGAATAAAAATGATCTCAGCAGATGCAGACGTTTGTGTTACTTTCAAGTTCACTGCAGAGAGAAGTGTGTCTCATCCTTTTTCTCCTGGTCAGTCCCTGTGGTACCCAAAGTGCAAGTGACCACTATCCACATCTCCAAATGAGCAAGAACAGTGATCTGGTCAGAGGGAACTCTTGTGTCTCTACAGACTGGTATCACTTGGGTAGAAAGCAGGCTGTGATTGAATAGGAGTAAATGTCAAGTACCACAGTCATGCTAAATCCGCTGTACATGGTCTTGTTGTGTCCTGATTAGTCTCTGTCCCAGACAGCTAATCCTTTTGGTTAATGAATACGCACGGCCTCATCATCTCCAGTAACAGATACCTCGGGAGGCTGGGGGAGCACTGCCAAAGCAACTTGGCAGAAGGTGCTTGTCTGTTCATAGACTGCTTTGTACTTAGAACTAATGAAAAATTAACTAAGTTGCATATATATATAAATATATCCTCTCTTAAGGAGCAGGCAGTGGCTGG